AAGCTAAATTCCCTGTTTTAATCTTTCAGCAAAATTTTAAAATCTTTCAAAATAAATTATTTATAAACATTTACATTTTGAATTAAAATAGAAGAGGTCTGCAAGAAACACTTATTAAAGCCCCATGCGGGCCCGCGGGCCTTGGTCTGTTCATCTTGAATTGATCTAGAGTAATACTCAATCTGCAAAGGAAGTCAGTGGCGAATGACCAAAACAAGAACTTTTTTTAAAAAATAAAAAATGTAAACGTTTCACATTTGAATTTTTCTTAATAGAAGTATCACAGTAATATTGATATTCGATGTCTTTTACTTTAATATTTTTTTTTTTCTAATGCAGCTGGCAAACACTTAGACAGCTTGGTCTTGGATGCCTTAAGGCAAGCGCTGCACAGACGTTACTCACTTTGCATTAACCAGGGGCGCGTGTAACTTGAAGATAAGCCACGGACGCGGAGTGACAATCACCCCGCAACGCTCTACGATCCTATTAGACTGGGACCTACGGTTTAAAGTGGATTCCGAACCACTACAAACATCCATGGCACCGCCGGGACTCGAACTCGAAACCTGTGTTACCGAGCGCCAGAGCACTAGCCACTCGGCCGTTCAGGCCCTTTTATTTTAATATTTTCAATAAGATAACACATTTTATTACCCAAATGAACCCTAGAAAATTTCCAAGATATTGAGCGACCCCAAAAGGGTAATTAATTCAACCATTCATAGCTGTAGGTAAATCCCAACTTTTCCCATGACTTTTTGCATAAAAAAAAGCCCGACTTTCATTTGAGGACCGATGAACTTTCCGCATTAATTTGCCTCCCATTTAAGCAGACATAAAACCACTAATGTGTCACAGGCGAGCGCAGATTGCGACGTCGGTGGGCATGGATGACCGCGCATATCGAAGAGTGGTCGTCTCGATCAGCTGATTACGCGAGGTCGGTCGTCCTGGGACGAACTCATTTGAAAGATCCATTGCCACAGACCCGAAAATAGAGACGGAAATTTCACCCACTTGCCTCGTCTGGTCACTGCTGCTGTTGTCCATTGGCGGACTGGTGCAATTTTTTTTGGCACGCTTGGCAGAATTGGGTAGCATGTCAAACCAATTGAGTAGGAGGTCATATTTTCTCTGGGTTTCCGAACTAATTATCATTTTTCAACGAAATGGTAAAAATTGACTGGATTTTAATTAATGGCTATCCTTTCAGAATTCCACCAACATTACAATTTATATAAAGCGCGTTAACATTTCTTTGCTCTTATCGAGAGACTGTTTCTATGAATTGTCCTTTTATTAATCTGTAAAGCATTTTGATTACTTTACAATAGAGCCAAACTGGTATGAGTTAATATTGCTATCTGAACTACCAAAATTTGAAACATGCACTCTCTAGGACGGTATTCGGCGACTAGAATTTCCATTTGTATATTCTTTACTCTAACCCAAGAACTCAAATTCCAAAATCTCTATTGTGTTTTGCGGGATTATCAAAAGTATATTAGAATTTTAAAATTGGGTTCAACAAATTAGCTTTGACTATTACTCAGTAAGCGACGTATTACGATAACATGGAGTAGACAGAATATCCTTCCTTTAAAATCTGCAAAATATAGGATTAAAAGCAGTGATATATATATATATACTACACTGCTATCAATCCTATACTTTGCAGATTTTAAACATGGGCGGCACTGCTCATGAACTTCAGAAGTTTGTGGAAGGCTTAGTTTAGAACCATCCTCTGATAATTTAGCTGCTGGATGGCGAATATTTAATCTTTTAGCAATATCGACAAATCAGTTATCTTGGATATTTTAAAATATGTTGTTAGGGCAAAAATTTTCAGATCAGTATTTCAGTTAAATAAATTAGGCATGGAAATTAGAATGACGTATATTAGCGTTCTAAGGTTAATGAAATGCACACTTCAAAATATATTAAGATCCAAATGTTTCTTTGGATGCATCTTTTGTACTTGTCTGTGATAAACATAGTTTAAGAGTTTCTTGTCATTATTTGTTCGCCTGAAGAACATTGAAAGGCAGAACATATAAGGAAATAAATGTCAAATCCATATTTCTAAAATAATATTCCCTATTTATCCAATTTTTTTTTTTTTTTTGACTTTTGCAACAACAGACAAACCAATAAAGTTGTCAAGTACTGATTCAATTGTCTTGAAATGCAGTGACACACCATGAGTGAAGCTTCCTGGTTAGTCCATTACGAAGACAGGAAAAAAAACCCCGATAGATCGAAGATCATCTTTCATTCATCGGTAAATGTTTGCTCTTACACTGTTCCAACAATGCTTCCAGAATTCTCTTGTCCCCGTGTCCTTCCATAATTGCTTTTGCATACGGCCTTGCAAGTTCATACCTACCTAACATTTCCTGCTTCCGAAAGTCTGTCCGACCTCTGACCTTTCTTCCGTCATTGAAATTACTCCGAAGAATTGCACTAATGTGTCTTTGCTTTCCCCTCTTTATCTCTCTCTCTCTCTCTCTCTCTTCCTTCCTATTTACCTTCTACCCCTGACCGATTCAACCATCGTATCTCATGGATGCTGACTTTCAATAATGGAGATCTACACAATAATCATTCATCTCAAAAAAGAAGAATGGTTTTAAGGAAGGAGACATAGTAATGTGGTTCGATTTACCAGCGTAATGATGGCATGGAATGGTTTTTTTTTTAAGTGTTATTGATTGCTTGTTTCTTTTAGCAGTTATTTATTTTCGTTGTTAAAATTGTTTATCAGTGTCATTTTTTAATCTACGTATTTACAGAAATAATATTCTCATTACATAAAATTATGAAGTTAATTTATAAAAAAATTATTTCAAATACATCCAATTCAATTAAAAATATGATTCGTCTTCTTCATTGGGGCAACAGTCACATGACAAGGCCAAGTCTGTCTGCATTGCCCCCTGTTTCTTTATGGAAGCGCTATTGGTGAGATATAACCATATCTTCCTGATTATCACACAGGAGACAGCGAGAGTCTGGAGCCAGTTTAATTCTGTGAAGGTGCTTGCGGAGACAATTGTAATCACAGAAAAGCAGTAGCCATGCCACCTAAGGGCCTCTTTAATTATCATCTTAACGGAGTGATAGGCCAACTCCTGGTCGTTTGGCTGTAAAATAGATTTTCCCCCGTTTTTGCTAGGAAATCAGCGGTCTTGTTTCACTCTATTCCCAGCGGGCCGGTATCCATTGCAGGACGACTGTTTTATTTTGATCAGACAACCGTGCCAAAACACTGTTTTAAGTAACCACACAGACAAAATTTTTGGATGTTAGATCTGGTTTTATAATATTTTCTGTCATCTCATCTATTTAGGTCTACGACATGTGTTCATTACAACACCAATTTCTTTACGTTTTGTATCTTCATCTTAACTGACTTACTTTTCGTTATGAATTTAGTTCCGAACTTAATGCACAGACAATGTAAAACAAAATTTTAAAGTAATGTTCAACTGTTAAACATTTTTCATGCAACAAGGCGACATGTTGAAAAATTGCACCATTTTAAACACACATTAGAAGGACATAATTAAGGCTGCGGGTTGGACACGTGGCACTGTCTGTTGAACATGAATTAAATTATGTTCATCTACAAGTATAAGGATTTATTTATTAAATTCATATATATATATAGACTTTTTGGATAATATGATTAATAACATATCATCTGGGAATTTAGTTTGGTTTGTCGCTCTACGGTCAGTTTTTTGCACACTTTAGGCTAATTAGATCGGGACCTACAGTTTAACGTGAATTTCAAACCACTAAAAACATCCATGCCACATTTTTTAAATACGTTTTTCAACATCGCATTCAATAAAAATAATAATGTCGTTCGAAAACGGTGAAAATAAAATAAAACATTCCTTCTGTGTCTTAAAAATTATAAGTATTAACTCTTTACTTCTCATTTTTGTAAAAAACTCATTTTGTAAAATCTTTAACATTTTTGTAAAACTCTTTAATCTCATTTTTATTAAACGCCTCTAGTAATCGGATATAACACATTCAGTTCATCTTCTTCATAGAAACTTAAGGTTTCCTCTCAGAAAAGTCAGAACCTCCAACAAGTCGATGGGTATCCGACCACAAAACATTAAATCAGATACCTAACCTTAATCGGATCAAAAGTTAATCTTTGGCCTCGGTTCGTGCACCTTATCTTGAATGACAGGCTATTGGGTTACGTTTATTCAATCATTTTATCTCAGAAGCATTATGGCAAAAAAATTGAACGTCAATGCATCAATCTTTTGCAGATTTCCGAATATAGAATATGAATGGATTAAATGGCTAGGGAGCTTTCAATAAATAACTTTTAGAACTGCCTTAATCTAAATAACAAAAGTCATTTACTACTGTACTCATACCATATGAATTAAAAAAATTTCCTTTTGTGTAAAATTTTTAAATTAAATTTTTGATTTAATTAAACGAACTTTTTATTTATTAAAAGACGCTTGTTTTAAAATATTTTGGCTTTAATATGATGAACTCTTCTAAACTGTCTCGGGATCTGAATGGCCGAGTGGCTAGTGCTCTGGCCCTCGGTACCACATGTTTCGAGTTCAAGTCCCGGCGGTGCTATGGATGATTGTAGTGGTTTGGAATCCACTTTAAACTGTAGTCCCGGTCTATTTAGCCTAAAGTGTGTACAAGGTGACAGTAGGGCGCCAAACCAAACCAATCTAAACTGTCTTGTTTGGTCATCATCATTGGCACAACAGCCCCTTGGTGAGGCAAGGCTGTCTGCCTACTGGCAGATTTCGCGACAGGAGATGTTTTCTTAAGGGATAGGGTTGTCCCCCTATAGTCATATTACACCGGGATCTACGGTTTAAACTGGATTCCGAACCACTACAAACATCCATGGCACCTTCGGGTTCGATCCCTAAACCTGTGGCACCGAGTGCCAGTCACTCAGTCATCAAGCCCAAAAATTAAACGCCGATGAATTGTCTTTCCCAGTGATCACCCTCCCTAGTACTGACCGCGCCCGCTGATGTTTGACTTCGGTTATCGAACGAGAGCCGGTATATTCTGCATGGTACGGCCGTTACCAAATATTAGAAACATTCGCCAACGATGGGATCGAACCCGCAACCTTCGCTTTTATTGAGCACGGCTGGGTGCCTAGTTTGGTACTACATGTAAATTTTGTAAAAGAAACAATGAGGAGGGAAAAATTTAATTAATGAATTTTTGATAAAACATTTTGTACCATAGATTTCTAATTTGAAATTAAAATGATTTGAGCAATATAAATAATATTTCAGAAATCTATGCACTTATTTTCAAAACCCATACTGCATGAAATTGTATTGGAGATTCTTATAAAAAAAAGGTATAAGGACAAAAAGATAAGTATTCTTTTTATTTATCAACATAATATGAAAAACTGCGCATTCGTTATAAAGCAGCAAAATTTAATTCAACGCTTTAATGATTACGAACCCTATTTGAATGAAAGGCGAATAATTTCATGCATAATATCAAAATATTTCATTTATGACTTTGATGTGCAATGAAAGATTAAAAACATTAAAGTTAATTATACATTACAAATACAATATACACAATAAATACAATACAAAAATTCCTCACACGCTTCTTCTTTTCATCCAATTTTATATATTTCTCACAAATTCTTACTAATACAATAGCAGATGCATAAGTGTACATAACAAAGCAAATATTAATGTAAAGAATGTTCAAGGCAAATCAAAAAAACAGTTGCAATGCAAGGTCGGCTACAATATGACTTCAGAACAAAGCATATTATAAACATTAATACTAAAAATGAAAAAGTAGTTATTTGTATTTATCTTTTTTTTTCCAAGATATTTCATTGTATTTAATTTAGCAAATATTCTTCCATGTCTTACATAAATATGTTTTTTAATTTTTTTAAAATTCCAAAAGAATATCTAATGGATATAAATTTTCAACCTTGTCTGCTTGCATTCCAATGTTCCATTCGATTACACTTAAACAAATATTTTAAAGGATGACAATTACAGTAACAAATATGAATAGCAATGTTTCAAATCCAACAAAACAATATAGCTATTTTAATAGTATTTCGATGGCCTCGAAGTTGAGTTTTGTATTTCTTTTATGAAGATTTAAAAGAATTTCTAACAAGCAAAAATCAAACTGATATCCCTTTGAAGGTCAAACCTTGTTTAGTATATAATTATTTTTTGTATAACAGTTTAGAATTGAAAATAACTTTTATTTGAAATTCTAAAGATAAATTCCTTTTGTAAAAGCATTACTTTTTATTTGTCAACAATAATATCGGTAATGAAGAAATAATTTTGTTCAGTGGAAACTGCGCAGCTACTCTAACGGTTGTTGCTTTCAGAAATGAGGGTTTTTAAAAAGATTTGTCTCTCTACGGTCATTATGTGTGCACAATTTAGGCTAATTAGACCGAGATTTACTGTTTATCGTGGATTTCGAACACTAACAAACATACTTGCCCTTGCAGAACTCAAATCAAGCCTGGGGTACCTAAGGCCAAAGCGATAGCCAATTAACCTTCAAGCTGCTTCAGAAATGAGGAGACGATTGTAACAATGTGTATAAACATCTCATATCGACAATTACGCTGCCATGACGATTGAAAGTTTTACGAATTTTCTCTCATGCAATAGGCAACTACACCTAAAAATCCTCCAAGAAGGAATCACCCTTCCTTCATTACCCGTTGATGGGTTGTGCTCTACAGTCATATTAGGCCAGGACCTACGGCTTACAGTGGATTCGAACCACTACAAATATCCATGACACCGATGGAACTCGAACCCGAAACCTGTGTTACCGAACCGCAAAGCGCTAATCACTCGGCCATCAGTCCCAAATTATAATTGTAGTAAGAAAAAAAAAAAATATTTTTATTAATTATCATTGCAACTAATCAAGCGTATTAAAATAAAACTAATAATAATAAAAAAAATATATTTAAAAAACTTTTTGATTAATATCAAATTAATCAAAACATCCATTAAAATCCCGATTAATCAAAATATCATTGCTATTATATCAATCCGATCATTGATTGATCTGTAATATTTTTAACAAACACCTCAATTCAAGAATTGCTAATAGGAAATTAAACTGAACAAAACATTAAACATTTCAAGGAAGACATTCTACGGGATGAAAAATGTAAGAAAACACATCAAAAAGCTTATAACATTGGCACTCTCACATAATAAGAAAATAGCGATAAAAAAATATCTGATAAATATGAAAAAAAAAAGAAAAGCTTTCTAATTCCCTTCCCCCCTTCTTAATTCCTCTCCACGCTTGACCTGCCGATTTAAAAAGAATTACATTCGCTTACAACATCTGCAGCAGCTGAATTTGGCAATTAAAGTTCGTTTCCCTACACTGGTAACGCATTCTCGCATTGTTTATTCGCCGTTACGTTCGGGAATTCCAACTCTTCCAAGACTTTTCAACGCGTACAGTTCAATTAATGGATTGTCCACAAAAAAGACGGATGAAAAAAAAAAAAAAAAAAAGTGCAGGGAAAATAATGAAAAAAAAGGATGAGAACCAAAGTGGTGATGCTCAATAGACTGTGATCTATTTCCGGTTGATGTTTGTCCACTGGATGCGTGATCTTACTGTGCTGTGTGGTATGGTTATGGTTATGGTCAACGCGGGAGGGGAAGAAATGTCGACAAGTTCGGTTGGGTCATCCCAATACGGTTTTCTCAGAAAGTCTAAAAAACATGCGAATTATGATGGATGATTATGAGATGAGAGAAATTCTTCCTTTGATTTGTAGGAAACACGAAATCTTACATTAGATTGAACAAATAAATTTATTTATATATACATATATATATATATAATAAAAATATTTAAACTTTTGAAAATAAAGTTAAATACTTCATTAGTTTTCCTATTATATATATATATGTATGTATCATGTATATATGAATATTAAATTTATATATATATACGTAATATATAAATTTAATATCTATATATTTATCTATCTATCTATCTCTCTCTATATATATAGTTGGGAAACTAATGAAGTGTTTATCCTTATTTTCAAAAGATTAAATATTTTTATTTGATAAAAAAAAGTATAACGGTCGTATTAATTAATTTAAAATAAATTATTTGAAAAATATTATAATTAAATATTTATGATAATACCTTTGATTTGATGGAAATACGAAATCTACCTTAAAGTAATAGACTGAAGTTCCTTAAAATATATAATAAATATAATATTAATTATACATAAAATTATATATATAATTTATATATATATATAATTGGAAAACTAATAAAGTGTTTAACCTTGTCTTCAAAAAGTTATATTTTCATGTGATAAAAAAATTTGAAGTTCGTATTAATTAGCTTAAAATAATTATTAAAAAAATATTATATTGCAATATTTATGATAATAACAATTGAATATTTAGGATGGCTCTTTTGATTTGAAGGAAACACAAATATATATAAGTAATATCGAAATTTAATATCTTAAAAAAAGATTATGAAAAAGAAATATAAATATGGATATTAATTTAATATCCATCCATATTTTCAAAAAGCTTAAATATATTTATTTCATAAAAATATGAATGCCGCATTAATTAATTTAAATAAATTATATGTAAAAAATATTTGTAATTTGGTCTTTTGTACGGCAATAATTTAATTTTTGATAATAAGGAATTATTAACAGGAGATGGTATTTACTACAAAAATTTGTAACATATGTTATGAATTTTTAGTGGATCGACAAATATTATTTTCTAACAATCGTTATTAATTGTTGATCAGTAAAAAAAATTTGTATCTATACATTTGTCAATTTTTACCATATTACGTTTTTTTTTCCCTTCAGAAATATGCTTTCATATTTTGAAACAGCTCGAATTATAAGTTTCTTAGAAAATAATGTTCACATCCCGGGCATACTGTAGAAACAGCGAATTTGTTATCACTGAATATTTTTCTATTATTATTGCATCAGTGATTTTACACAACGTTATCTGGTAATGCATCATCTCACTTCATTTGTATTATAAAAGGCACACCGGTGGTAGTTTAAATCTCGGAACATTTTCGCCATTCTTTCTCTTTTGCTATAAGTAGTTAATATTGTAATATTATATGAATAATAATTACTTTCTGTGAATAATTTTCCCCCATTCACTTTAAACCGTTTTTTTTAAAAAGCATTTAGTTAAAGTTGAAATTAATAAAAAATAATAAAACCTACTGTAAATTATAATTACTACTACAATATTTATATAATTATTACTACAACTATTACTATTATTATAACTACTATAATTTACTACTACTATTTAAAGGTTTTTTTAGAGACTTCCTTTACAACATGATACAAATCTTATTCTGTTGTTGTTGTGAGTCATCCTCAGTGTCCGGCAGCGCGGAACGAACCCCCCATGAGTAATGGAAAACCCGTAGGTAGGAGTCTGACTTGGCTCTGAACACTGGTGAAGGAGGGTAGTGCTTTCAGGGAGGACTTTTAGGGGCAACTATTCCACATTTACGTATCGAATGTGAGAAAACCCGGAAAACTCCCCCAAAAACCCCGGAAAGGTCCCGGTCTCATATGAGCGTAGAGCGTCATAGAGCCCAATCAAACTTTTCACCCACATAATTCTCAAACTGTAAAGGGGCAACTCATCTCTAGGCACAGTGGTGTGGTGTAGTAATAGTAGCCCTAATGCTCACTAGGGGCGTACGTTGCCACGAGTCGGGCAAATATTTTGTGGCATTTATTTAAGTCAAGAAACATTGTATTAAAATTGTTACAAAATTTCAAAAATAATAATAGTTTCATGTTATTATTATTTTTTTTAATAATTTTTATAGCTCGAGAATTTTCTTATTCTTTCAATCATTCTTATAATTTTTGAAATAAGTTTAAAAACATATCCTTTTTAATCCATTTAATCTACATATATTTCTTAATCTATTTAATCTACATATATTTTAATCTGTGTCTATTTAAAACATATTTATCTATTTTTAAGTTTAAAACATATCT